TTCCCCATGCGTCCTTACCTCCTCATGTGTCCTCACCTCCTCACGCCTCATTCCCCATGCGTCCTTACCTCCTCTCCCCCATGCGTCCATACCTCATCACCCCCATGCGTCCATACCTCCTCACTCCCCATGCGTCCATACCTCCTCACTCCCCATGCGGCCATACCTCCTCACTCCCCATGCGGCCATACCTCCTCACTCCCCATGCATCCATACCTCCTCGCTCACTTCCCATGCGTCCATACCTCCTCATGTGTCCATACCTCCTCAATCCTCATGCGTCCATACCTCCTCCCTCACTCCCCATGTGTCCATACTTTCTGACTCCCCATGTGTCTTTCACTCCTCACGTGTCCATACCTCCTCGCTCACTCCCCATGCGTCCATACCTCCTCGCTCCCCATGCGTCCATACCTCCTCGCTCACTCCCCATGTGTCCATACCTCCTCGCTTGCTCCCCATGTGTCCATCCCTCCTCGCTCACTTCCCATGTGTCCATACCTCCTCACTCCCTCTCCATGTGTCCATCACTCCTCATGCGTCCATACCTCCTCATGGGTCCATACCTCCTCGCTCACTCCCCATGTGTCCATACCTCCTCGCTCACTCCCCATGTGTCCATACCTCCTCGATACTCCCCATCCATCTCCTTGCTCCCTCTCCATGTGTCCATACCTCCTCGCTCACTCCCCATGTGTCCATACCTCCTCGCTCACTCCCCATGTGTCCATACCTCCTCGCTCACTCCCCATGTGTCCATACCTCCTCGCTCCCTCTCCATGTGTCCATACCTCCTCGCTCCCTCTCCATGTGCCCATACCTCCTCGCTCACTCCCCATGTGTCCATACCTCCCCATGTGTCCATACCTCCTCATGGGTCCATACCTCCTCGCTCACTCCCCATGGGTCCATACCTCCTCGCTCACTCCCCATGGGTCCATACCTCCTCGCTCACTCCCCATGGGTCTATACCTCCTCGCTCACTCCCCATGTGTCCATACCTCCCCATGTGTCCATACCTCCTAATGGGTCCATACCTCCTCGCTCACTCCCCATGGGTCCATACCTCCTCGCACCACTCCCCATGGGTCCATACCTCCTTGCTCACTCCCCATGTGTCCATACCTCCTCACTCACTCCCCATGGGTCCATACCTCCTCGCTCACTCCCCATGGGTCCATACCTCCTCGCTCACTCCCCATGGGTCCATACCTCCTCGCTCACTCCCCATGTGTCCATACCTCCCCATGTGTCCATACCTCCTCATGGGTCCATACCTCCTCGCTCACTCCCCATGGGTCCATACCTCCTCGCTCACTCCCCATGGGTCCATACCTCCTCACTCCCTCTCCATGTGTCCATGACTTGGGCAAACAGCAGGTCAGTTCTGTTATCAGTATCCTGTACCTTGGAATAATAGCTGTAGTCCCCCTGAGACACATGTAGGGCCCTCCAGCTATGTACCAAAGCACAATTTTGGAGAGATTTGAGAAAGTGCTGCAGAAAAGCATAGGAATGGGTTGGGCGTATTGAGGAAGAATCCAAAGAAGGATCCAGGCTAAAAAGTCCCCACCCAGGATCAATCTTTTCTACCTAAAGTCAGCTAAATGTTCCAGGACTGAGTCAAGGAAAGTAAGCTGTCAAGAATTTGTTGCATACAGTGTAGCAAAAGTGTACTTTTGGCCCACAACAGTGCCTTTCAGGAAAACACAATGGCCTTGAGGGTCAGCATAGTGGTCATCAGGTTGAAATGGGCAGCGTTTGTGAATAGCAATTGCTGTGCACTGAGGCTTTGCTATCAGGGAGTTGTCAGTGAGAGAAAAGATGGGTCAGAAGTTTGGGCACCGAAGTATGAGTGAAATGCATCTCCTGCAAGAATAGTACCTGTGCCCCTAACTGCTTCAGCTTCAACCATAGCCTATTGCACTTGTTGGGAGCACAGAGACCAAGATCATTGTAAGATGCTAACTTAACTGTAGCCATGGTGAGCAGAAAGAATGTTGTCCAGGTGACCAAACATAACAAACGGACCTAGATGTGGTTGACAACAGCATTGCACCCTGGAAGTACAAAGAAAAAATTAACAATGGAAAGCACAACAAAGAACTTATAAATATGTTAGTAGAGCCACAGGGCGCATAAGCAGCCACCTGCGGACCCGCAAAGTACTGCTTGCCCGATCTGGGGAAGCACGTTCAAAAGGACCAAGCCACCAGGGTGGGGCAAGGTGCCCTCTAAGGGGCAATTACCCATATGGTAAAACCCTACATGGGAAACTTAGACATATAGGGGTTTATTTACTAAAGCTGGAGAGTCCAAAATCAGACTCCCTTCTGCATAGAAACCAATCAGCTTCCAGGTTTCATTGCCAAAGCTTCATTGAACAAGCTGAGGTTAGAAGCTGATTGGTTTCTATGCAGAAGGGAGTCTGATTTTGGACTCTCCAGCTTTAGTAAATAAACCCCACAGGGTTCAGTAGCGCTCCTGCTCCCTACAGACTATCAGATAAAACTAAAAGGAAAAAAATACATAGTGGGTGTATATGCATAAAGTCCCTGCTGCGATCTCAACCCAGTCTGGGCTGTAACTTTTATCAACCAGATACAGATTTCATAAGAGACAAATCAGTGAGGCAACAGATGGGAACACACAGGAACCAAAAGAAGGGGGGGGAGAGTGGGCCATCCCTCACCCCTGTGGCCCTCCCCGGGAGAGGACAATGACAATGTCCCTTAAGACCACTGGTCAATAAGTTGGTAGGTAAAAGGAAAGAAGCTATGAAAGCAGTGCACAAAGATGTAAGAGCAACAGCATCCCCTCAGTAACCCCCGGATGGGGCAGGTGCTGGGGCTGTGGATGAAGGGCGTTTGTGGCCTCTGGAGCGGCCCTTGGATTTTGCAGGTAGCCAAGTTGGGGGAGCCAAGGGTACAGTAATGTCAGTGGAGTAGCGCCAGTCAGGGAAGTACACGTGGTCAAGCGACAGCTGAGAGAAAATGTGGAAGTGTGTTAATTAGTGCATAATATTGCAGATTTACCATCCCTCTCTGCATGAAGGCTAAAAGGGAACCCCCATCTGTATGTTCCATGAAAGAGGGGGCAAAGAGCCCCGCATTGCATTACCATGCGGCATGATAGGCCCTGATAGAAGAAGAGACAGGCCCAAAGTGCAAAGCACTCTAGTTCCTCTCTGGTTGGGAGAGGGTTTTACCATAAGTGTTGCTTCAGATCTTGATCCCCTGTAATGTCAGAATATCAGAACCCCTGGTCCCACTGAGAGGAACGGCACTGACATCCAGGGGGAAGAGGCTGGGAAGACAGTGCTGTGGCCGTATCACCCATCACCAATGGGGTGTCTGAGAAGTGATCGGCGACACTCCTAGAAGTAGAAAAGTCTGGGATACAGCTGCAGCATCATGCCTTGGCCGTACACTCCAGCTTCGGCGCCATCTTGGAAAAGTCTGGGATACAGCTTCGGCGCCATCTTGGAGGCTTCTCCCTTCATCCTTCTCTCCAAAGAAAGAGTTCCTGCACCTATTCTCAGGAAACAAAAACCCTGTAGCCTTAGGCCCTATTTACATTTGTATTTTTACCTGCCCCAACGTCTTCTGCATGCACCTTCTACTACAAGAAAAAGCTGCATTTTATTTTAAGTTGGGTTAGGGGGAGGGGCCAGGGGTGGGACCAGGAGTGTGGTCAAAGGTGGGGCCAGGGGTGGGGGTCAGGCGAGGGGACAGGGGTGGGGTTGAAGGGGGCCCTGTCATGTAGGCTGTATGGAGCTCTATTATTTCTAACAGCGGCCCTGGTTCCAAGCCTTAGGAGGACTGCTGCCCCTTTGTGGTAGCCTGTGGACTGAGTAGCTCCTCTTGCGGACTCAGCAGTGTCAGGACTGAGGGTCTAGATTGATCTCCCCGAGGGGCTGGCTGTGGGACTTCACCATAGGGATCAAGTTTGTAGAAGGGCTGTCTCCCTCACTGGACCATGTCTGGAGGAAGCTGGAAGGAGTGCAGATGTCTTGGGGACATGTGGGTTTTGACCATGAACTGATTCCTGGTGACAGTTCGCATAGGGTCGCAACATACTAGCCATCCCCCTGTCCCCTGCAGAATCCTAGAGTGGGAGCCTAGAGAAGATTGTCCTCTTGGTACTGTGTAGTGTTTTGAAGTATCACATGCCCTAACCCTTCAGCAATTTCAAGTTTTTGGAGTCACATGCCCTAACCCTTCAGCAATTTCAAGTTTTTGGAGCTGGACTGATGAATGTGGAGGTGGGCAACCTCGGTACTATTATCAGCTATTACCAGCAGGCCCTGGGGGGAAGCGCTACAACTATGAATTGAATTCCTTGGTTATCAGCTCAGCAGCTTGAAATGCACAGCAGACTGCCCTTCTTTACGTATTTCATCCCAAGCAGTACCTAATTTAAACAACCACAATGCATTACCCATTTACAACTTGCTGTTTTAGGACACCAGCAAGTGAACAAAGGACTCTGCTTTTGTGCAGACTGCCACTGAGAGAAGGGCCTGTGTTTCTTGCTCTCAAGCCACTGAGTCCTGATCTGTGATAGCCTATAAAATAAAAATAACACAGTTCAGGGACATAGTCGAAACAGAAGCCAGGGTTTGGACACCAGAGCAGGTAATCAGACGAGTCAGGGTCAGGAAACCAGAGGTCAGCGTAATCAGGAGCCAAAAATCAGGAAGAGGAATTGGAAGAGAAGGCAGCCAGACTGAGTTGTACACAGAACACAGGCAGGAACACACTGGAGATCATGGACCACGTGAGCTAAGCTGCTAAAAACGGCAAAAAGGGCTGCCTGTAGGTTGGCAGGTAATGGTATCTAGATGAATCACTGTGGAGTGGCTGATAATTAACCACCAGCTGAGCAACTTCCAAGCACTGAAAGAAAAGAGCTGCTCATTAAAGTGTTGCTAAATTCAGAACCCTGCATTGACTATATCTGGTCTCCCACAGCACACACAACATGGCAGTGCAATTATTTTAGTAAATATAAACTGCTAAATACCTTTTCTCATCAGCAGTTTGAGCAGTCTTGTGACTTCCAGCAGTGTCCAGCAGAGCACTGGTTAAAGCTTGTAGGAGGAGTTGTTATTCTGCTGTAGGAGGATGCAGAACCCCTGATCTCTGTCTGGACAGTGCTGATTGGTTATGTGCTGATCACATGGACTCTCCAAAAGAAAAAAAAAACCTCTAGCAATACACACCAAACTGAGCATGTGCAAAGGGACTCTACACATATGTCTTATCAGGAGATAAGAGGAGGACACTGGAAGAAGGGGAGGATCAGAAAAGTCAGGATCAAACATCCTTTTTATACAATGCAGAGGATTAACCCCTTAGGTTCCACAGTGAGTATAACAAGCATGCTTTACTGCATATACAGAATGATTTTACTGTTGTGGGTTTAGTAACAGTTTAATGTGAGAAAAAAAAACCCTCAGGGTACTCAATGTGGTAGGGCTGGAGTCACTGACTGTGAGGAGTGCTTATTCATATGCGCCTATCCCCCTGTGTTTGTAAAGTGCGGTTAAAACTGCTCTTAAGGCGTTAATTTGGTGTACCAAGGTAATAATGTGGCCTCCTGAGGTAATACAATCAGACTGACACAGCACAGCATTACTGAAACAGGACAGGCATGTGGCACATGTGCAACAGAGTGGGCATTGCCAACTGTCAATGAACTGTGAAAGCGGGAGTAAACACAGCATTTATACACAATGCAGAGAATTAACCCCTTAGGTTCCACAGTGAATCTAACAAGCATGCTTTACTGCATATACAGACTGATTTTACTGTTGTGGGTTTAGCAACACTTTAAGCAGCAGGAACCTGCCCTGGCACATAAACAAACCTTATGAATTCAGTGCTAAAGAATTTACAGGAAAAAACAACAAACATTATAGGAGCAAGTGTAATATACAATCTTAAAGTTGTTCTAAAGCTTAAACACATTTTACCTTAAAGTGATACTAAAGTCTTGTTTTTTTTTCTTAAAATAACAAACCTGTTATACTTACCTGCTCTGTTCAGTGGTTTTGCAAAAAGCAGCTGGATCCTCCTCTTCTCAGGTCCCCCAGCATCGCTCCTGGCCCCTCCCTCCTGGCTGGTGCCCCCATAGCAAGCAGCTTGCTATGGCGGCACCCGAGCAGGTGTGCTCCTGAGCCACGACTCTACGTGTCCATTCACACACAGAGCCGCAGCTCGGCCCCCCTCCCTCCTTCTTCTAATTGGCTGACTGTGGATGAAAGCAAACTGTTGTAGACAGTAGTGGCCAGGTGAGGGCAGGACAGGGGAGAGATTCTGTCGTAGAGTTGGTCATCTGCAGAGTGGAAAGGAGCAGATTTCAAGTTGTGAAGGTTTCTGCAGGTAATTGTTTGCTGCTTGGAGGGATAAGTGTTTGAAGATGAGGACACTGTGAAGGTGATGAGATTGTGATCAGAGAGAGGAAAGGGGGTGTTTGTGTGGTTGTAGGGAGTACAAAGATGGGAGAAAACAAGGTCTAATGTATTCCATTCAGAGTGAGTGGAGGACTGTATACATTGTGCTAACGAAAAAGATGAGGTTAGGTTGAAGAGTTGGGATGTAGCCAGGTTGTTGACATTAATGGGAATGTTAAAATCTCCAAGAATGATAGTGGGTAGTTCAGAGGAGCGAAAGTAGGGTAGCCAGGCAGAGAAATCATCAAGAAAGCACGACAACGGTCCAGGAGGCCGATAGATCACTGCAATCCTTAAAGAAATGGGAGAAAACAGCCGGATGCAGTGAGTTTCGAAAGAAGAGAAGCATGGAGAGGGAGGGTTAGGGAGGACTTGAAAAGTGCTCAGTGGGAATAGAAGCAAACCAATCCCTCCTCCTTTCCGACCACTGGGTCTGGGTGAGTGGGTCCAGAGAAGGCCTCCATAGGAAAGTGCTGTGGGAGAAGCAGAATCTGCTGCTTGAAGCCAGGTTTCTGTAATTGCTAGTAGGTTAAGGGAGCGGGAGACAAAAAGGTCATGGACAGAGCTTTATCATATTTATTCGTCCTATCTAGGAAAGTGTTCCTATAGGAATTCTCCTCAGTTTGTCTTTTATCTTGTTTATTAATGGGATATAGTTTGCCTGGTATAAATTCTTCATTGACAGGTTAATTCTATTCCTAGATATTTTAATTCCTTTTCCCTCCATTTAAAAGGAAATTCTTTCTGTAAAACCTATTTTTCTTTTATCGGAACACTAACATTTAAAATATCTGATTTTGAGGGAGTGATTTTTAAGTTTGATAAATCTCTGTAATGTTTTAATATTCTCCTTAGATTGGGTAATGTCAATCTAGGATTTGCAACATAAAATAGCATATCATCTGCATAAGCTGCCGCCTTATATTCTACATCTCCTATCTGTATGCCTTTTATGTCATCACTATTTCATACTGTTGCCAGAAGTGGCTCTAAGGACAGTACAAATAGAAGGGGCAAAAGAGGACAACCCTGTCTTGTTCCATTATACATTTTAAAAAAACTGTGATAGTGAACCTTTTACCTTCACAGCTGCTGAAGGTTGAGGATACAGTTTTCTTATCCATGTTCTCATTCTAAATCCTATTCCAAGAACCTCCAATGTATCCATCATAAATTCCCAATCTACCCTGTGTCGAAGGCTTTCACTGCATCTATTGACAGAACTAACACAGGGGACTTTTCTTTCTTACTTTTTTGAAGGAGGAGTAATGATCTCAACCCATTATCTCGTCTTTCTCTCTCTCTGGAAATAGCCCTACCTGGTCTATATATACTGTATCTAGTCCGGCATTAGGTCTTTCAACTTAGTTGCTAAAACCTTTGCATATAATTTTGTGTCAATATTCAATAGTGATATGGGTCTATAACTGGCACATTAGGATCTATCTTTCCCTTCTTTAGGTAGAATTGTAATATATGCCTGCAATGACTTCTCCCTCATTTCCATCCCTTCTCCTAATCAGTGGTGTATTTTGGTTTTGTGCTGCCCTAGGCAAGACTAAAATTGGGCACCCCCCGCATCTAAATTTGTCCCACCCCTTTCTGTTTAAGATCCACCCCTTCATCTGTAAACCCCACTCCTTCCTATTTAGGCTCCACCTCTTCCTATTAGAGCTCCACCCACTTACAACGATGGGACGCTATTCTTCCCACTGATATCAATAATGGGGCACTATTCATCCCACTGACAGCAACAATGGGGCACTATTACTTCCACACTGACACCAATGATGGGGCACTATTACCTCCCACTGACACTGACACCAATGATGGAGCACTATTCCTCCCACTGACACCAATGATGGACCACTATTCCTCCCATGACACCAATGATGGGGTACTATTACTTCCACACTGACACCAGTGATGGGGCACTATTCCTCCCGCACTGACACCAATGATGGAGCACTATTCCTCCCACTGACACCAATGATGGACCACTATTCCTCCCACACTGACACCAATGATGAGCCAATGATGAGGAAATGAGGGAGAAGTCATTGCCTGCAATGACTTCTCCCTCATTTCCATCCCTTCTCCTAATCAGTGGTGTATTTTGGTTTTGTGCTGCCCTACGCAAGACTAAAATTGGGCACCCCCCGCATCTAAATTTGTCCCACCCCTTTCTGTTTAAGATCCACCCCTTCATCTGTAAACCCCACTCCTTCCTATTTAGGCTCCACCTCTTCCTATTAGAGCTCCACCCACTTACAACGATGGGACGCTATTCTTCCCACTGACATCAATAATGGGGCACTATTCCTCCCACTGACAGCAACAATGGGGCACTATTACTTCCACACTGACACCAATGATGGGGCACTATGCCTTCCACACTGACACCAATGATGGAGCACTATTCCTCCCACTGACACCAATGATGGGGTACTATTACTTCCACACTGACACCAGTGATGGGGCACTATTCCTCCCGCACTGACACCAATGATGGAGCACTATTCCTCCCACTGACACCAATGATGGACACTATTCACTATGATGGACCTCCCCCACACTGACACCAATGATGAGGCACTATTCCTCCCACTGACACCAATGATGGGGCACTATTCCTCCCACACTGGCACTAATGATGGGGCACTATTCCTCCCACACTGAACACCAATGATGGGGCACTATTCCTCCCACTGACACCAATCAGAGAGAGAGAGAGGAGGGAGAGAGAGGAGAGAGGAGGGAGATAGAGAGGGGGGAGAGGAGAGAGGGGGGAGAGGGGAGATAGTAGAGAGAGGGAGAGAGAGAGGGGGAGAGAGGAGAGGGAGAGGGGGGGAGAGAGAGAGGGGGTAGGGAAGGAGGGGGAGAGGAGGGAGAGAGAGAAAAGAGAGGGGAGGGGGGGGGGAAGAGAGAGAGAGGGGGGAGAGATAGGGAAAGAGGGAGGGGGGAAGAGAGAGGGGGGGAGAGAGAGGGAGATGAGAGAGAGAGGGTGATATATATATAGAGAGAGAGGGGGAATAGAGAGAGGAGAGAGAGAGGGGGGAAAGAATACACAAGGCTGGCTGGAAATGTGGGAAGGGCAGACACAGGAGGAGAGGACGGGAGGAGGAGGGGCAGCTTTCTCTCTCCTCTCCCGTCTGTGTGAGGGGAGGGGGGGGGAACTGTCAGCACTGGGGACTGCATATGCTGACAGATCCCCTGCAGTGCTGGAGGGGGGGGGGGGGTGGCCGTGGGGTAAGCATACAGGAGCAGACTGTATGTATGAGATGGATAGGGGAGGTGACCGTCGGCACATAGAGCATAGAGAGAAACGCACGGTCCCTTCTCCAGCCGGCTCCATGGTTGACAGGTTCTCTGTCTCGCCGCTGAGCACACACACGAACCTGCCCGAGCACGCCCCCCTGGCTAAGCACAGCCCTTTGCAGGGACAGCACTGGTCCCTTCTGCCTGGGGGCGATGCCGCCTCCCTGAAAAGTGCCGCCCAATGCAGATGCCTTGTTTGCCTCACGGCAGATACGCCCTGCTCCTAATGCATTCATATATACACACATTTTAGGTACTTAATTGCTCATTGAATTTCTTATAATATTTTACTGTAAAACCATCTGGTCAGGGCTCCTCCCTGCCACTGTGCTCTTCAATGCCACTTGAATTTCTTCCTGTGTTATTGGCCTCTCTAATGCTCCTAAACTTTCTTCTCCCAATCTCGGTAATCTTGCTTCCTTTAACCATCCTGGAGATATTCCCGAGTGTAGCTCTGGGTAAAGTTTCAGCAGCACAAGCGGTAACCCCGAGCTACACTCGGGAATACCCTGCAGCGTTGCTCCGGGATCTCTTCTTCGCTTACCTTGTCC